CTTTGCTGGGTCATATTTAGCTGCTGTTGATCAGCACCCCCAGGTCCTGTTCCTCCCAGAAGCTTTCCAGGCACTCTTCCCAAAGAGGAAGGACAGGACCTAGCACTTGGCCTTCTTGGACCCCACTAGCCTTGGCCCATGGATACAGGCTGTCCACATCCCTCTGCAGAGTCTTCCCGCCCTCCAGCAAATCAACACTCACATCCAACTTGGTGTCACCCGCAAACTGACTGCAGGGGCACTTAATCCCCCCCATCCAGATCACTGATAATATAAATATGTAATATAAATATTCAGAATATAAATAATGGAAATATATCGATTTAGGTGCGGTGTAACGGAGCTAAGCAGTCGCTCTCCGAGACAAGCGCTCAAGCCCAGTCCGTACCGCGGCGAAGCCAGAGATCGCGGGGCTATTCCCGAGGCGGGGACAGCGGCCGGTGCCGGCGGGAGGCGCTGGCGAGCCCCACGCGCGGGCGCAGGAGCCGCCCGGTCTGAGGGAGGCCGGCGGAACAGAGCTGGGAAGAGCCGCAGCTCCCTCTGCTCCATTCCCAGCCAGGCTGAAGAGGCAGGCAAAATATCCTGTAAGCAGCTGGGAGGAGTCTCACAGTCTCTGGGCCTTGTTCTCGTGGGTACTTCAACTTGCCAGATGTCTGCTTGGAAATACAGCAGACAGGGAACAGTGCAGGAGATATCCAGACTGTATGGAAGATAACTTTGTGACACAGTGGATGAGGGAGCCAACCAGGGAAGGTGCCCTGCTGGAACTGCTGTTTGTGAACAGAGAAGGGTTAGTGGGAGATGTGGTGGTCAGAGGCCATCCTGGGCACAGAAACAAAGAAATGAATAGTTTTCCTTTTCAGAGCACTGAAAGGGGGAGGGGACCAGCAGAACTGCTGCCTGGACTTCCAGAGGCCAGGCTTTGGCCTATTTAGGAAACTAGTTGCCAGAGTTCCTTGGAGGGCAGTCCTCGTGGGTAAAGGAGTCCAGGAAGGCTGGACATTCTTCAAGAAGGAAACCTTAAAGGTGCAGGAGCAGTCTGCATGTGCTGAAAGATGAGCTGGCTGGGAAGAAGACTGGCCTGGCTGAACAGAGCTTTGGTTGGAACTCAGGAGAAAAAGGAGAGTTTATGACCTTTGGACGAAAGGGCAAGCTCAGGAGGACTACAAGGATTTTGTGAGGTTAGGCAGGTAGAAAATTAGGAGGACCAGAGCCCAGCTAGAACTTGATTTGGCTTCTAAAGTTAAAGACAATGAAAAGTGTTTCTACAAATATATCAGCAACAGAAGTAAGGCTAAGGACAATCTCCATCCTTTATTGGATGCACATGGAAACGTAGTGACAACAGAGGAGGAAAAGGCTGAGGTATTGAATGCCTTTTGTGCCTTTACTAACAAGACCAGTTGTCCTCAGGGTACCCAGCCCCCTGAGCTGGAAGACAGGGATTGGAAGTAGATATATCAATATCTTTATCAATGACAAAGACCGTGAAATCGTGTGCAACCTCAGCAAGTTTGCAGATGAAGCTGAGTAGTGCACTTGACACCACAAAAGGACAGGATGCCATCCAGAGGGATCTGGACAAACCCGAGAAGTGGGCCAATGAGAACCTCGTGTAGTTTAACAAGTTCAAGTGCAAGGTGCTGCACATGAGCCAGGGCAATCCCAGTCATGAGTACAGACTGAACTGAACTCATTTAGAGCGGCTCTGCAGAGAAGGCCTTGGGGGTTCTTAAGGATGAAAGGTTGAACATGAGCCGACAGTGTGCACTAGCAGCCCAGAAAGCCAACCACATCCTAGGCTACATCAGAAGAAAGGGGGACAGCAGGTTGAGTGAGGTGATTCTGCCCCTCTACACTGCTCCCGTGAGACCCCAGCTGTAGTGCTGCATCCATCTCTGGGGGCCCCAGCAGTGGAAGGACATGGACCTGTTGGATCAAATCCAGAGGAGGGCCACAAAGATGATCAGAGGGCTAGTGCACCTGTCCTATAAAACAGGCTAAGAGAATTGGGATTGTTCAGTCTGAAGAAGAGTAGGCTTTACGGTGACCTAATTGCAGCTTTCCAGTACCTGAAGGGAGTCTACAAGAAAGCTGGAGAGGGACTTTTGACAAGGGCATGTAGCGGTAGGACAAGGAAGCATGGCTTCAAGCTGAAGTAGGATAGACTTAGATTAGATATTAGAAAGAAATTCTTTACTGTGAGGGTCGTGAGGCACTGCAAGAGGTTGCCCAGACAAGTTATGGATGCTCCATCCTTGGAACTGTTCAAGACCAGACTGGATGAAGCTCTAAGCAACTCAGTCTAGTGGAAGAAGGTGTCCCTGCCCATGGCAGGGGGGTTGGAACTATAGGATCACAGAATCATTTAGGTTGGAAAAGACCTCTAAGATCATTAAGTCCAACCACTGACTTATCACCTTGTCTATTAGACCAAGTGCCAAACAGGTGTTTACCATGAAGTTTTAGATGCAGTTTTTCCTTGAACAGCTCAAGGGATGGTGACTCCACCACTTCCCTGAACAGTCAATTCCAATGCTTAACAACCCTTTCTGGGAAGAAATTCTTCCTGATGTCCATCCGAACCTTTTCTGGTGCAGCTTAGGACTGTGTCCTCTTGTCCTGTCACTAGTTGCCTGGGAGAAGAGACTGACCCTCACCTCCTTTAGGTGGTTGTAGAGAGTGATAAGGTCACCCCTGAACCTCCTTTTCTCCAGGCTAAACACCCCCAGCTCCTTCAGCTGCTCCTCACAGGACTCAGAAGATGCCTTCCAACCCAAACCATTCTATTATTCTATAAGGGGGAAACTGGCAGGTTATAGCTGCGATGAAAACCATAGTGGAGAAAAAATATTTTCTTTTAGCATGGGCAGTGCCAAGCTAGCAGGGGAGGAAGCTGTCTTGTGTAGTGATAAGCCAAACCTATGGCTTGAATTCCTTTGTTGCACATGGACTTCTTAAAACCAGTGTGTTTGGAATGAATGGAGAAAAGAAACTGGTATCTAGAATAGATGAAATGGTTTAATGTGGGGTAGTTATGAGGTCAAAGCACACTATTTTGCAGGAATGTTCCTTCCCAGTGCTCCATTTGCCAGCATATGAACTTAGACTTTCCATTTGCCTTGGTGCCTGAGATAAAAGGTGGAAGCAAATATTAACGGAATTCCTCTATTGCATTATAAAATATATACAAAAATACAATGAAAAATCTGCATTAGAGAAGTAATTTACAGCATTTTAAAGGTGTTAGAAAGATATAAAATTGTGCATTTGTTTAGCTTTAGTATTTTGTAATGGATACATGTATAGCTAGATGATCTTTTAAGGTCATATCTTTTTTGCATGACATCAAAGACATGATAACCTTTCTAGAATAATGATCTGCCGCGTCTACTTGAAAATACAGCTGTGCTTTGCCAACTTTTTCCTCATTTCATTCTAGGTTAGAGTGGTTGGTCTCTGCTTCACCCACAGGAAGGGAAATAAACAACAATCTGCAGCTTCATATCACTCATTTACTTCTTCCAGTCATTACTTTTAATGAACTAATTGTTTCTAAATGAAGCAATAAGGGTAATTAGTGCAGTAATGAAGAAACTGGCTGACTGGGGATGAACAATTAATTGTTCTTTTGAAAAAACCAACCAAACAAACAAAAAACCCAAAAACAAAACCCCAAAACCAAACCCTAGTGGACTAAGTCAAGTGTAACTTTTGTGAGGAGGCAAGGACAACTGATCTGTTAACACAAGAGAATAAAACACTTGGACCAGGTGACACCCAGAATGGCATCTCCAGCTCATCATTGAGAGGACAAAACTTTTTTGCAAGAGGAAAGAAAGAACTTGTGTGTCTGGGAAATACAATGAGTATGAAGGAGTTTACCTGTTTAAATCAGTAGAAGGATTAAACTCATATAATTATTACAATTTTGAAAAAATGCTTGTATATAATTTATGGAAATACCTGTAACATTATGTAATGATTTTCTCAAAGTACATACATTTTTTATTGATTTCATGATAACTTTGATGTGTTTAACTTTAGTATTTTTTCAAAAGTGATACATCTTCATGACCATATTGCATCTAAGACAATAATGCACTTCAGGCCATTTTTCCAAAGTAATAAGCATTCCCACTAAATGAAAAGATTTGGTTCCATGTTACACATTTTGTATCCACTCTGATTGCTGTTACTTGTTTTAGTTAATACTGTCATAGGTGATAGGGGATACATTTTTCCTCACATTGGCGGTACATCTAGTCCAAGGTTGCTTAAGCAACATCAGGGCATCCAAAAAGTTTGCTTATGAGAATAACTGTGCTCAGCTTAACTTGTGAGTTTTTAAAGCCTCCCAAATACCTATCTGCTGAACATAAAGGGGACCATAAAATAGTATCATCAATTTGCTCAGAGTGACTACCAAAATGAGAATCAAGCCAACCATATAGCAATGGGTGCAACAACAGGAAAAAAATACTTTAGGAATGAGGCCTACAGCCATGAGATATGCCATGGGATATCTGGTGAAGGGATTTCCAAGAGATATGCTGCATCCAGCTCCTCTGATCTCCGAGAACCGACTGGAAAGCTGGGGGTTTATTTTCTTACTCTCAATTCAAGAAATACAGAGCCAAGTCTCAGACTGAAAAACCAGTTTTTCTGACCTCTTCATCCAGACACTGTCACCTACAGAGCATTGCTTTTACCTTTGCATATATATTCACAGGAGGCAGGGGAGGCAGGAAAACAGCAGTTTAAGAGTAGCTTGCATAAAAATATAATCAAAAACAGGAGCCAGATTTCCCAAGGTACTGTGTTAGTTCTAACCTCCTCTATTATATGGCTAGGGAAAGCAAATGGCTAAATTTTATCGTGTTTTTTGTCTTCTCTATTAATTCTCTTTCTGTAGCAAATGTGCTGTAGCAAATGTGGATAGTGCCTTCCCAAATCTTCATTCGCGAAGCCTAGCCATGATGATGATGATGATGATTAATTCTCTTCCCATTTAATGTCATAATTCAGACCTGTACTCAACTGGGGTTGATATTAACTACTGTTCAGTTACTCATATGGGAGGAAAAAGAATATGGTATCTAAGTATCTTGTTCCCCTGTGAGTGTTTGTATTTGCATGGCACTTGCAGTCTCTAAGTGAGACCAAGGCCTCATTTAATTAGCAGTGTGCATGTATTAAAACCCACAAAGGTATATTAACACGCATTTTTATACACATACACACACACATTTTAATGATATGACATCTGTCCTTTGAGTCTAAATGGTCAAGAGAAATAAAGGTGAAGAGAAGAAAATATTTTCCCTGAAAGAAAACAGGTAGAGAAAGCTTAACTGAATCTTGGAAGTATAAATTATGGTAAGGAGACAGGATGGCAGTAGCATTCAGCAGGTCCCTGTCCCATCATTGCGAACGTTTCTTTATTGCAACATGTTCTACAACTGATAGAATGTTAAGAAAAAAAATATTTCTCAAACTCTTTATTTCAAATTCTTATACTTCATATAGAATTTTTGAGGGGGAGAGAATAATCTGACATATATATAACATTCTAATATCCAGCTGAAATAAAAAGGAAAGTGGCAAAAAAAAAAAGACTGTGAAGTCATAAAGCAGAAAATGAAAGTGTTCTCAAAAGCATACACAAGGGGGAAAACCTTAAAAACCAAAAAATGATGAACGAAAACTTCTTCTACAGAATAATTAAATTTCAAGATTTTGAAGAAACAGGAGCCTACGAATGCCTTCAAAGTATCCTAGTCTGTCTCAGAATTTATACACAGGAAAGGAGGAATATTAGAGCCTGCTTTATCATGAATGCTTTTGGTTTGATACAAATTGGCCTCATACTGTTGTGCACCACCATCATCTGCAATCATCAGTGCAACCATCTTCTATTACAGCAAAGAAAAGTGACTGAAAACAGCCTGCAACTTTTGGACAAAATGGGCAAAAACTTTCCTCAACGATGTCTAAGAGAGAAAATGTCCTTCAGATTTCCTAAGCAGGTTCTACAGCCCAGACAGAAAGAGACTGTCAGAGTTGCCATTGAAGAGATCTTCCAACATATATTCTATATCTTTAGCAAAAATCTAACTCTGGCTGCTTGGGATAGGACAGCTTTGGATCAGTTCCAAAACGGACTTTATCAGCAAATTGAGCAATTGGAGGCATGTGTAATCAAAAAGCACACCCACTACTGTTGGAGTAAAGAAGTAAGCAGGCTGAAACTGAAAAAATATTTCCAAAAAATAGATTGTTTTCTTAAAGACAAACAACACAACCTGTGCTCCTGGGAGATCAGCCGTGCAGAAATGAGGAGATGTCTCCAACTGATTGATAAAGTGACAAGGAAACTTAACAACTAAGGTACAAAGATTTTAACCTCACATAAATTATAATATTTATAAAGAAATATTATGTATAATATTTATTATTGGCTCTATGATCTATCTTGTGGCATTGCTTCTAGTTCATTCTGACTGTATTTAAATAATTATGCTCCTGAATTTTATTTTTACAAATGTAATGCATTATTCAATGTAAGTAACTTTTTTCTACTCTAAATTAATCTATATGACTTTTCAGTTAGATTACACATCCGTTGTAAGGAATTGTAACTTTATGACAGATAGTGAAATCTTATAGTGTTTTCTGCTGAGAAAAAGTGCTGCTACTTTCCATTTCTATTTCACTCACGTATAGAGAATCATGTATTTGTGGATTAACTACACATCCCTTACCTTTCAGGAATTGCTAGATTTTACTGGTTGAAACTGCACCAAAAATAAAGTATTATATTGATTATTTAAGTGGTCCTGGCTTAGGCTGAGAACATGCATTTTTCTTTCAAAGTTTGTATCCTCTTTTCCAAGAATGTATTTTTTTTTTCATTTGAGTAATTCTAACATTTGCTTTGTTTGAAGATGTGAAGTAGTTCGAGAAGGGTTTGCTTACATAGGATATTTTTTGCAGTAGTTATGGCTTCTGTAGTAACTTTTCACTTGGACAGTGTTACTTGTAATTGAAATATATTTGCCTCATCTATTTATTGGGGACAAGGTTTTTATTCCTTCCTGCAATGTTTCCAATTCACTTAAACTTCTTTGAAAAGGTATTTGAAATAACTTTTCTACAAAGAAGTATCCAAAAGCCACATGTGCCGGTGGCACATCCTACTTGCTCATGGACATAGTCATCCTGGCTACTGCAATCTCGAACGTCACCATCCAGTTCTGTGCTTTATTGCTGCATGACGTCTGCCTCTTCCCCTTTGCTCACAAATTGAACTCGGAAATGTATAGCCCTTGGTATTTCAATTAATTCCCGCTCCAAACCACGCAGCTTTCAGTAATAATTGCATTATAATCAAAATCTTTAGAATAGCTTGCAATAAACTGGGCATGGATTTTACCCTTGGGAAATTGTCCCTGAGTAACTCCATTTCAAACGGTGTGTTTTCCCTGCTCACTTGTTATATGTTAGCAACGGAGGAAACAGAGCTATATCCAGGATCTTTTACCCAATGAATATTGCTAAAAATTTGGTGAAAGCCCCAACAGCTTTTTTTTTTTTTAAAAAAAAGCTATTGCCTCTGGCCACCCCAATGTACATTTGGCGCAGGCTCCTGGATCTGGCATAAAGAAGCAGAAGAGAGAGCACATCTGCTCCCAAGAGATGGTGATATTAGTCCTGGAGGGCTGAAATTGCTAGAGGTTGGTTTAAGCATCTTGTAAGGAACCACTTTAAAGCTTTTCCTGATCTCCAGCCATTCAGAAAAGTATCATTCAAAGGGGTGATAATAAAAAGATACATCTAAACAAAAAAGGACTAATATGAACAATGGCAATGGCCACTAGGTCTTGGGTACCATACTTATGACACAGGTCTCTTTTGCAGGGTGTACATGCTTTCCTGGCTACCACTCATCAATGCGAGCTAAAGAAGCAATAGGAGAGATGGGTATCAGGTATGAAGCTCAAACACTGGAAATAAAACCAGCTAGCAACTTCACCACTCTCCAGAACAACATAAAAGACCAAAGAAACAGACTGAAATACTGGAGTAATTTTTCATTCTGTTGACACCCTGTCACAAACATTACAGCAAAAAGTGTATTTTTTGGGCTTTGTAACTAACGACACTTGAAATGGCCACCACCATGGGACTGTTTCAAATCTTATTTCTGTTGCTTGTTTTTTGTACTTCTTCAAACCTGTACAATAAAAGGACATTCAGCCTACTTACCCTTCTGGTTCTGACATCCTTAGGTGGCTTCTGCAATGCAAACTGTTATTGAAATGGCCTGATTTTTACAGAAACTTGGAAGTAGCATGAAGTATTTTTCAGCTGCTCTCTCATGAGGGATTCTAGTTTTTATTGCCTAACTTGTCTGCAGTGAGAATATGTTAATTCATGGCCCACTAATTGTTTAGAAAATCATACCATTATACTTTTTTTAATTCATAACGGTCCTTAAAAATCTCATTGCCAAATAAAAAAAACCTGTTTTGACATATTTCAGTCAACATGGTACTTTGCAGTGCAGAAAAAACCAGAATGGGCAGTAGAGGGCAAAGTGAAATTACAGACAAATATAAGAGTTGTAGGTTAATGTACACGTGTTTTGGCAAGACTGTTTCAGTTCTTTATGAGCATGCTGCTTATCAGTAAAGTGCTATTGTGTTCATAGAAGGGAATTGAAAGAAAAATGAACTATTCTTAAAAGAAACAAGAAGATCTCAGAGACGGTGATGAGAGCTCAGAAAACAGCATTTGATTTCAATTACTTTTTGGCCAACTGTGAGGTAACAGAAATTATTTGTACTGAGACCATGTCTAGAAGACACATTTAAAGTTGGGGACCCTGCAACAGACATAGTTACTCAACAAATAAAAAGGAAAAACAGCAAGCCAAAATGTCTTTGTTTTATTCTTACTTTTTAAAGAAAAGTAAGGATTCTTAAGTGAAACAGAAGAAAGTTGGAGAGTCAAGAGGTCCTCTCTCTTCACCATGCCATCTTAACATTTTGGAGAAATCTGTATTTCACTACCATTGTGTTACCGGGTCAGCTGTATATTATGTCCCTGGATAATTGGAACCCTCTGGTATTTCTTCCAGTTATTATTTTTCTAGAAGTTAAACAAATGAGGCAAAATACAGTTTTTAAACATACATTATTTTCAAAAGGAAATCAATAAAATAGTGAATGCAAAGTCTCAAAAATTTAGCAGAGATGAAAAAAAATCCTTCCAAGATGGGGCTGCTTATGGGCCAGAAAGCTTCATAAACTTTTCCATAAAACTCACACACCAGTGCTGTGCAGCACAGGTCCCAGTCACAATTCTGGCAGTTCTCATGGCTTGTCCACAGCACCCTGCTTATCTGTGCTGTGCTGAGCTGTGTTGCACTTCTGGGGAAACGGTACTAAAAGTGATAAGGTTTCATCTATACAGAGTCAGTTTTCTGGAGTGGATTTATGGAACTGGGGTCAAAAGCCTTGTCTTCCAAATGAAACTTCAGAATAGCTACAGTAGAACTGAAGAATGCTTATTTCAGACTTTATTTTGGAAAAAAATTATTCACAAGGCACAGTGAACTACAGCTTCATCCATGGGTTTGGCTTGTTCCACCAGGTCTGGCTTCATAAAAAAAAACCACACCAAAACTAAACAAACGGGAAAAAAAAGACTGTGGAAATAAGTCTCCAAATAATCACACAGAATTAGCCCCATTTCTAGGAAGGACAACTGTGAACTCCTTCAGAGTAGGCCAAGGGAAGTTGCAGGAGTGGCTGTGGTGAAGCAACCAGACCAGCACTGGGGTTGAGGGGTGTGGGCTGGAGAGGGGATCAAGAACTGCCCATGGGAAGTGCTCACGGACTGCTGCATCCTGCCACCCCTCACCCCTTACGATCCAGTCTGTCCCCTGGTTTGGGGAAGATCAAGAAATGAGGGTGACAAAGATAGAGAACAAATCCTAAATGAAGGTGTTAGTTCTCAGTTTTGACTGGCAGAATAAATTTACTTTGCTTAGAAATTTAACGCAAAGCAAAAAAAGGTGAACAAAGCAAGTAAGATTGAAATTGATATTTTCCAATAAGGTGACTGTGCTTTTTAATATCCAAAAATCTTCCTACTAATCCTCATATAGGCAGGGATGAGTCATTTGTATCAATGTTTCCCACACTTCTGCTGACACCATGAAATCCTTAGTAAGGTGCAAGGGATTTTTCAGTGCTAAGAGTTTCTAGAGGAACAAACTCTGACAGAGAACACAAGGAAAATCTTTCTTTTCAGGATTGCATCCATGCCAGTGCCACAGCCCAACCTGCAAACTGGAAGGCAGCTACAGTGCTTCTGTGGGGCCACCCTGCTGCAGCCATGGACTGCCAACCCCGCCTTGCTTCCAAACACCATTCAGGCTCTTCATTACTTGTGTCCTGGATGAATTCCTTTTCTCTATATACAACTTTAAAAGTGAAATTCCCAGCTCATGTGAACTGGCAACCTTCCAGTTTAATTCCAGTGGCACTGAGGAAGAAGCAATGGTAAATGATGATCAGATGAGCAGAGGGAAATTCATGTCCTGTCTCAGTTTTCTACAGTGTAGAATGTTCTACACTGCAAGCTTGGTTCATTTTCTAAAACCAACCTTGCTGAGCCCAAGTCACTACAATTAGGATCCTAAAACCACATTACCTTCAGCAATAAGAAATTGTGTTCTAAGCAAATAATATGATCTGCTTTTGAGTGTGTGAAAGTCAACACAGTTAACACTCTCTTCTAAAAAATAACTGTTAAAGCATGAAAATGCATTTGCAAAGTCAAAAAACCCATTAAGTGTCGCAGGGGGTCTTTATATAATAAAGAAATGTGGTCTGCTCTCTGATGAGATGGTGATCAAAGAGACTTTATTCAAACCCAGCGCCCTTTTTATCCCTTAAAACCATGTGACCTTGTGACCAATGGGATTATCTATTTCAGCGCATGTCCCCTGGGCTTCCCTGCCCTGGGTGCTTCCCCTGCACCCCTGGACATGCCTCCTACAATTAAGGAGATTAAATACTGAGATTTCAAATAGCCTCTCTGCTCCCTGCACACCAGTTACCACTGCATCTATTCACTGTAACTCTTACTGTTGACAGTATTCCTCAACTTTCTTATCTTGGTAGGCCAGAACCTACACAATTTCCTCTGGACTTAGCTGGAGTAGTGTGTTCCAGTTCATTTCCCAGAAAGGAAATATCTTGATAGACGTATTTATATAAAACAGAAAGCTTCTCTTCTACAAAAAAATAAAGCACATTTTACTTCAATTGTTTTTCAAAATGTTGTTCTCTCTTTAAGCAATTAAGGTACTTTCTTTTCAAGTCTCTTTGGATTTGAAGCGTACTCAGTTCTGGTCTCCACTTTTTGGGAAAAGTTCACATTGGCTAGAACGGATTTTTTCTTGTGATTACAATTTTTAATAATTAAAAATAAGTTCTTGCTTCATGCAGTTGAAGTCATGGTGTTGTCCTTGTGGCAAGCATTAAATCCTTGCATTAAATATATTTATATTTAAGAAGGATTTAGGCTGGATACTGGTCATCTGTTACTGGTCATTAGAAGTATTTCAAGATATTAAACCCTTAATTTTCTCTTTTTTTTTTTTCCTCTTTTTTTCTTTTTTTTTGTTTTTTTTTTTTTTTTGTTTTAAGTTCCCCACAGCTCACTATTTGTGCTATTAAACCATTAAACTTCTAGAAAATGTCAGAAGCTATTGTTACAACTTCTATCATGAGTGACTTGGCAAAGACTAACACTTAAAAAAGGGAAATCTCCCAGCTCATCAAACAATAATTCCTCTTTATTATTGTAGTAACATATTCGGTGGGTTCTCATCCAGCAATGAAACTGAGAGCAGTGAACTGGGAGGCACAGATACTGTAAAAGCATGACTCATTTCAGAACTGGGTATGTCTTTGATATTTAGTTAGTCTTTTCATGGCCTTCCAAGCAAAACCTGTGAATTTCTCACTCTGCTAAAAAAAAGATGGTTGGGAATGAGAAGAAAGGACATGGTAAAGGAGCTATCTTTTTTAAAAATGGAAAATGAGGGATGGTATTTCCTGAAAGAAAATTAAAATGTAAAAAATTATTGCCCTAAAAAAATAGATTATATTGTCCATGAATATGCAGATTCAGGTTCCCTAAGAACAGTAAAACCGGGTTATAATAATCAACCTGAAACATCATCCTTTGCATCATAAAAATAAGTTCCTTTCATGTGGAAATATTTTAATTAAAAGCAGGATTAACATGTGTTACAGAAATGCAATGGTTTGCATTTTTATCCTATGCAGAGAACAGTAGCTTTCTATTGTTTACCTCAGCCTGGGGATTAGGGTAATAGCTTGTAGCCTCAATGCTTGAAATTAATGCTTGAAAATAACGAATCCCCCCAATCAACATATTCCTAAGGAGTTATGGGGCTGGTTATGAATACACAGGTCAATCTAGAGGCCATATGATCTGCTCCTTCAAAGACTCACAGGAACTGACAAATAAGGAGGGTAAGGCTGTCACATCTTCTCCAAGTGACATTTTGGGAGGTCTGGACAGAAACTGCCTGGAGGCTCTTGACTAGCTTCCATCATCCTTCCTCTTGCTGTGCTCCGGCTGTAGGGCAGCAGCAAGGAGATGCCACCAGTTGCTCTATCTGAAATACCCCTGCCTTCATTGGAGCTGAACTGTCCCAAAAGGTGGCAAATGCAAAAGAAGGATAAAGTTGAACAGACTGGCTGTGATTCTCTTTTTCCTTCAAAAGCACTTCCAAACTTCATTTTTCACCTGATAAAACTGACAAGCTAATCACACTGCCAACTCTGTGTCTGTTTGGTGGACCCTTGTGGCACAGTGCTTGCTCCCACAATACATCTCATCCTAAAGCAGTCAGGAACTTTCATGTGATTTACTTAGATGATACCACCAAGTCAGCACTGGTGAGGCAGGACCTGTTTGCAAGCCAGAGTCTCTGCTGAATTTACAAAATCTCCAGGGTTTGAGAGGTGTGAAGCTGGCACAGCTGCTGCTTCCTCTTTTGTCTGGTTTGAGAGTACAGACAAAAACACTGACACTTTTCCCCATTACTTGCTTGCAGCATGAAGATGACTTTGCTTCCCCAGCTGCCTCTGCCAAGCCTTCCTTTCCTCATTAGCAGTCTTGGCCACACAACATGAACACCATCCAGCACTGGGCAAGTACTCTGCCTGCTAGTGAGGAATAAGAGTGGGCAG